TACTATTATATCCTTGTATACTTAAATAACAAACTAACTAGTAACGTGTCATGTAAATTTCTCTCTTTGCAAAATTTTTAGATGATCATGTTACTCTTCATAGAATATATAAAAATATTATTCTTTTTTTTCAAAACCGTAATATTAATACACATCGACAACTTCATTGATACAATATTATTTTCAGTGCCAAAAAATCGATAAATGTATTTTGTTCTCTTCGTCCACAATATAAACAATTTAAGTATGATAAATATAAGATAATATCTAATTTAACTATATAATTAAATCTTTCTATATTTTATCAAATGCTTTAACGAACACTTTTGTATGCATTGCTAGTTATGTAATGCATACATAACTTCTTAGAAAAATGACATATGGATACCATGAAATTCGATTTTCTCAGCTACAATTTTATTCAATTTCATGTAATGGGAAATCATCCATCATTTATGGGTGAGGGACCCTCTAATAAATAATGGGTCCCATCCAAATTCATGATTATTAATCTATTATTGAGTGAGATTGAGACAAAATATAACGGAGTAGAACTCGATTCTACATCAAGCAACTAATCAATATAAACCCTATAGGTAAAAAGTGCAATATTAGTCCTAAATTTATTCAGCCATGTAGGTCTTACAATCACTGTAGCAAGGGTAGAAACTGATATTCATAAGATTTTGATAACCCGGGTTGCATTGGCATGTATGCGTATATGTTGCATTCTTTGTGCATGAACCTTCTCCACAATAGATCCAGTTGCAAGCTGTACAATAACCAATATATAAGAAATCTATTTTATCACAAATATTTTGGGATATATATGTATGTATATGTAGCTGATGGATGTTGATTACAATCGAAGAATGATGAGTTGGATGGAACGGAGGGCGCTGGAGGGGCAGCTGGCATGCAGGAGTAGTCAAGACTACCTGCAAAAATGACAAAACAACAACAGGTTAATAGCTACTCTAAATTGATGAGTACTAAAATTCAATTAAAGGACAAAACATATAATGAGTAACTTCACAGAATTTCGCTAAAAAATAAAATTTATTAAAGGATCGTTCACTTGATAATCAAGAATGTTAGAAGGGTTAAACTTTAGTTCAACTTTTTTCCGCAACAAAATAAACTTGCAAAAGTAAGACTGCAATGAATGAAATCAGACAATGTCAAAATTTGAAATTTAAAAGATCAAAAACATGGTACACAAATGAATGAAAGAAAATTGGAGAAAAAGAGAACGGATCGTACAGTTTGGAACTATGCAAGGCAGAAACTGAAGATTTTCTTCGTTGTCAAGACGGGTTCGCTTCCAGCCAGCGTCGCATTCACATACGAAGTTAAACGGAGACCCAATTGCTGTCTTGCAAGTTCCTTTCCCACACTCCACTTCATTGCATAGGCTGTCTGTCAATCAACACAACACTTCTCAATATCTAAATTTGTGTGCGTGTGTGTGTGTGTGTGTGTGAGAGAGAGAGAGAGAGAGAGAGAGAGAGAGAGAGAGAGACCACTGATAGGAGAGGGAGCAGGAGATATATGATCATCTGCTTTTGCAAAAACTGCTAGTAGAACCAGAATTACAGCCAAAGAAGCCATTAAATTGGAGGAAGCCATGGTTTCAGCGACTAATAACTAGTAAGAGGATGAGAGGGATGGTGAAGATGAAGGTAAATTATACCTTGCGGGTATATATATAAGGATCGAAAGCTTGAACTTTTCTTCATCCATTAGAAGCTTCTACAAATATGAGAAAAAAATTCATTTCAAAGCTTTACAATTGCTGGCCGTATACGTTGAGAATCACTAGTCAATTACCTATACAGTTTCTTTGTGTTTGAACCTTTCATCTCCCTGACCAAAACAAAAAACTTTCCTCTCCCCTTCCGGTCTGTTTTGAAAAGTCCGCAATAACAAAAAAGCAATACTATTTAAATTTAATTTATTAACTTAAACACTACTTGCTCTTAGATTGACCGAGGGTAATTTGGTTTTTGAGACCCGTTACTAATTCAATGATTTTTTTAAAAATTAGATGAAGAATTATAAATTCAATGTTAGGGTAATGGCGGGGTGACAGTGGAGAGAGATTATAAATTCTTATTCATCACATGAGGCGATCAATTGAGATTATAAATAATATTCCAGATTTTCTTTCATTGGTAGTTTTCTATCAATTTGTAGAAAAATAATCAAAGTCATTGTGGTCCGTTCCCTGCCGTCATGGAAGCTTCGAACAAGTCTGATTTGAATGGGGAGAATACATGTGATTTATCAACCACTTTACATTTTAATTTTTGTTACTAAATTAACATATTTATAAGTAATTCCCTTGTAATGTTACGTCGGGTTGGGATACGGGTGGCGATGATGACGAAGATGAAGTGTGCTTATGGGGTTTAATTTGAGCTGAAAGGCTCTAGGGAATGATGTTTTCTAGGGGAGAGAGGTGGATTGCAAATGGAGTTTGTTGCTCTTGAAATATATATTGATGATTATGAGAGGATTACACAGTATTCTTGGTACAATTTTGGTTGTTTTTTTTTTTTTTTTCCGTAGTGAGGACATTGTACAGTATTTATAACCTAATTCCTAATTTTATGGGGTCAGTGGCGAGATCTTTGCTTTCCTTCTGTAATATCTCACTTGATTTCAGGAGATGGTTTGGGCAACTGAGGATCTTGCATCTTGACTGACGCTTACTGCTGTTGAGGGAGCGCTTTGTTGTTGCCTGTTGTCTTCTACTCACCTTCTTCGGGGTGCAGGTCGAGGAAGCCCCAGGTCTGGACCTCTGAGCTCAAGCTCTCTTGGCTGAGCTCCCTTCTTGAGCTCAGCATCTGCCCCCCAGTCCCTGGTCAAAATGTGTTTGAGCAGGGGCTGAGCTGCGGTTGAGTTGAGTTAAGCCTTCGTGTGGTGACCTCGATTTGCGCATGAAAAGACCTTTTTGACAATTTTGTGCAATAATTTCTTCCACGTTTCTCGCGCATGTCCCGTATTTTGAAGACCCACGTACACCAAACTTTAAATGCCTTTGAAATGATCGAAACCCCTCACTATTTCTTCTTCAACGCCTTCATCTTTGAAGAATTCTAGGGGTAAATACTCCTCAAGAGTAATTGGTACTCTCTTAGACTAGATGTACTCATCCTCCAAACGGACTTGAGTTTTCTTTTGAGTCTTCTTTTTCTTTTCATTGCTTTTCTTCTCCGTCTTTTTCCCGCAAAACTTTATTCCAGGGCGTCTTGGAGGCTTCACTCTAGGGGATAGAGTATTTGTCATTTTTTTAGTCCTCTTGCTGACATGTGTTTGCACTCAACTCCACTTTCATCTCCTGATTCACAAGAATTGCTCCAATAATTCAAATTTGGTTTTCTTATAAGCTCAAAAACAATTGGAATTGTTGGCTTTTTTGAACAGGGTATGTCCGGGTAAGCACACTAATAGGTAACCTCACCATTGACAACGAAAGCAATTAGGATTGCCCCCTTTGGTAGCAAGATATTGGGGATGGACTTGTTTTTTACTGGGGAGATATTATTTGAAGTTGTAGCAACAGAGGACTCTTGTATTTCAATGTCTCCCTTATTCACCATTGCTTGAATGATATTCCTGAGGACATAACAATCCTTCTAAGAATGACTACCAATCAGATGGTACTGAAAAAATTTTGGATCATCGGTCTTGTTAACCTCTGACGGTCGCTTAGGCTCCAGTAATTCTATTGTCTTAGCCTTTAGCAATGAGTTGAAAATTTCTTCCACATCATCATCTTTGAAAGTGTAGTTCACCTCTTTTTTTTTCTTTTAAAGAGGGATTTCTGGTAGTTTCTTTCCCATTTTTAGGGACTTCCTTTCCTGTTCCATTTTCTTTGTTCTTATTGACATTAACAAATGTAGGCATGGCCTCACCTTTCTTTGTTGGCTTCTTACTATCGAACTTCTTCTCTTCAGTCATTCGGGACTTTTGAGAAAAAATCTCTTCAATAGTTTGTTGTTGTATGATTGAGAAGCTCTCTCTTATGTGTTTTAACACCTGTTAGCTGGTGATTCTGTTCCAGTTTTGTGGGTATTTTTAGGTGGTTCTCAAAATTAACCATGAAAATATTCTAGTGACTGAGTTCAATTATATAGATTTCAGATTCTTGTTTTCAGCCAATTGCTATGGTGTCTTAACTTGTTTATGGTCATTGACGGATATAATAAGACTAAACATTGCGTAATATTTGTCAGATGTGCAATTTTTCCATGCTCATTCTATAACCACTTTTGTGGGAATCAGCTAGCAGGTGGTTTTTTTATTCGAAGTTTGTTATATGGCTTTCCTGGTATATTTCAAGGTTTTATGGCAGATAATATTGCATGCAACCTCTTTGTATTGAATGGGGATTGTTAAGATGCACTTGAATTATGTGTATCAGACTTCAATATCCATGAAATAACTGATGTAGCGTACCTCTTTGTATTGAAGGGCCATACCTTCACATGTAAAACAATTATATAGTCTCCACGATGTTTGATGAAAGGTCCTTGGTCCTGAAGTTATTGTTAGAGCTGATTTATTTATTGCGTGTACTTGAAGTTTGCCTTTATATAGTTGAATTTTATAATGGATAATTATTTGTGCACAAAAAGTGTGCATCAAATTATTGTTAGTCATTGGATGATAGTGGGTCCCACTAAGCCTGCTAGCAATGTTTTAGGGCACACTTTTGATACACAAATTTGATGTGCATAACATTGTTCTTTGTAATTATAGATATTGTCGGACAAAAGTCATATTTGTTCAGAAAAATATTTTGTACAGTATCATCCTCCCCTCTTACTGTACTTATTTATACAATGTAAAGTTTTTATACATATAAATCTGATAGAATACACATATACTGACCAAACTAACATACACAAATAATTCAGACTAAGGTATATAATTAAAATCCGTGTGATGAAACCAAAAGTGAGGTAGATTAGATCTTCATAGTACTTCTCATCTTACTTCCACAAGGCCATAACCATAGAGATCAGTGTGATGCTTATCCAATGGAATCTTCCTGGGAGAAAAGAGGTGGCTGCAAAACAAGAAACCATTTAGATGAAATTTAGCTGTGATATTTACGATAAAACCCATTATACTATCCAGTTTAACGGGCACCCATTAGTTTTTCCCTCAATACTAATGGCCAAACATGATAACTAAATATTTTAATCAAAGTGTATAGTTGTGTACGCACGTGAATAGTTTTACACAAAAAGTAATAAAACATATTGAGTATATATATATATCTAAATTAAATATAATTTCAAATTTTGCAAACTTAATTTTTCATTTCTCGTATTCTATTGTAGGATTATGAAAAATTTGTATGGTCTCAAAAATCTTTTGTTCTAACTATAAGGAAAAAGATTTGAAAAATAGTTAAAGTTCTATTTTTTTAGAATTTTGTGATTGAGATTTAATTTTAGTGATCTTTGAAAAATTAAATTTTTTGAAATTCATTTTATTAGGATTCCACTTATAATTTCTTAAATAAAATAAAACTATTTATCAATATACTAATCATATAGAACTTTATTCTAATTAGGAATTGGAATAAAATTTAATATACTACCCTATAATATATATTATCAAACATATTAAAATTCTAAACAATTCAAGATTTACTTAAACATACACTAAAATATCTATTTTCACATAAAATTTTAATACACTTTAGAAGGTTTATTATGACTGAGAATTTTATTGATGTGATATAAATTAATTTTAAAAAATTGTATATACGATTATTTTTTATCTTAATAAAACAGAAAATACACTTATGTAGTCATAATATTATTTTTACATATGAGATAAGTAATATCAGATTGATAGAGTTTTTGAAGGCTTTTTGAATATTTTATTAAAAATATAATGATGCATTTTGAAACTTACTGTAATTAAGAATTAGCTAGGTGAATTCAGATAAGATTTAATATACTACTCTATAATTATATATATATATATATATATATATATATATATATATATATATATATATATATATATATATATATATGTATGTATGTATATATATAAATTTCTAAAAAAAATAAATTTTACTTTAAAATACACTATAATATCTATTTCCACATAAAATCTTTATACATCTTAAAAAATTTGTTGTGGATGAAAAATTATACTGATGTTACGTAAATTGATTTTAAATAATTTTTTATCTTAGAAATGAAAGGATTAAACTTTTCGATGAAAGAGAAAATACACATATGTTGGTATAATGTTATTTTTGCCTATGAGATTTAAATACATAAGTATATGATGATAATTTAGATATTTAATTGTGAAATGATATCTAAATGCTAATAAAAACAAACATTGTTCGAAGAGTGTAATAAAACCCAAAAAAATAAAATTTGGAGGGCATTTGTCTTTCAATTCTAAACTGTCACATTCCTAATGGAATTACACTTAAGTTCATGTAGAGTTATATAATTATCGTTCTAACAAACAAGTTTTATTTTAGAAAATATCTTTGTTTAGTGGGTCTCAAAAAATAAATAAAACCTGCTACGGTGCTTCATTTGTATTGGTTATAACTTATCACTTTCATCTATCAATTTTAAATTTTTTTCAATAACTTCTTTCATAACATTGATAGAAAATACAACGTGCACACCACGAAAAAATAACACATTGCTTTTCTCATCCAAAACCTACTTCTAGCAATTGAAGCATACAATCGACAAAATTTTAAGATGATGTCCTAAAGTGAAGATCGATGAATTTGATAATATGAAGTGTTACCATATTTTTTGTATATATATTTTATATCTTTTGGGAGGAGAGTTCTAGAAGATGTCAATGTTTGACCAATTAAACCCATATTGCTGATATGATTTTGTTGGCAACATATGTGCGTTTGGTATGAAATAAATGTTTCTCACCTTGACTATTCCCATCAGAAGGTGAGGGTGATGATGACTTAGATACCTCGATTCCAAGCCTTGCGCAATCAGATCCAATTGCACCTGAAGCAAACCAAATGTTAGAACACATATCACTGAGAATCTCTACACACTTTAAATTTATTATATTTCACATCCTCTAGAGTTTACATTGGTTCTCACTATAGTTAGTAAAATTCCAGTTAGATCAGTTTCGTCTTCTATAGTTCGCCATACAACATGAATACTACCAAAAATGGTATGTGTATATTATGTGTAGTGTACATAAGTTCTTAGAAAAATAACATATGAATATCACGTAATTCAGATTTCCTCAGTTACAATTTTGTTCAATTTCATGTAATGACAAATCATCCATCAATTATGGGTGAGGGACTCCCTTATAAATAGTGGGTCCTATCTGAATTCGTGATTACTGATCTATTATTGAGTGAGATAGACGAAAAATATAATGGGGATAACTGGATTCTACATCAAGTGACTAATCAATATAAACCCTATAGGTAAAAAGTGCAATATTAGTCCTAAATTTATTCAGCCATGTAGGTCTTACATTCACTGTAGCAAGGGTAGAAACTGATATTCATAAGATTTTGATAACCCGGGTTGCATTGGCATGTATGTGTATATGTGGCATTCTTTTTGCATGAACCTTCTCCACAATAGATCCAGTTGCAAGCTGTAAAATAACCAATATAAAAAAATATATAAGAAATCTAATTTATCACAAATATTTTGGGATATATATGTTTAGATACATCTATGTATGTATATGTAGCTGATGGGTGGTGATTACAATCGAAGAATGATGAGTTGTTTGGAACGGAGGGCGCTGGAGGGGCAGCTGGCATGCAGGAGTAGTCAAGACTACCTGCAAAAATGAGAAAAAAATTACACGTTAATAGCTACTCCAAATTGTTGCGTACTAAAATACAATTAAGAATATAACATATAATGAGTCACTTCACAGAATTTCACAAAAAAATAAAATTTATTAAAGAATCGTTGACTTGATAATCGAGAATGTTAGGAAGGTTAAACTTTAATTCAACTTTCATCTACAACAAAATAAACTTGCAAAGGTAAGACCGCGATGACTGAATCGGTGAAAATTGTCAAAATTTGATATTCAAAATATAAAAGACATGGTACATAAATATATGGATCTGTTTATTATTTATTCTTATATCCACAATTATTTGTACAAATTTCTAATTAATTGCCTTACTTTTTATTCAAAACATTTAATTTAGTTAGGCAACTTCACTTGGGCAATACCAAAACAATTTGTGTAGTTTTTTTTTTCTATTTTCTTTTTAGAGTTTTAAAATCAACCAAAAGGAGAAGAAAGAAAATTGGAGAAAAAAAAAGAGCAGGGATCGTACAGTTTGGAACTATGCAAGGAAGAAACTGAAGATTTTCTTCGTTGTCAAGACGGGTTCGCTTCCAGCCAGCGTCGCATTCACATACGAAGTTAAACGGAGACCCAATTGCTGTCTTGCAAGTTCCTTTCCCACACTCCACTTCATTGCATAGGCTGTCTGTCAATCAACACAACACTTCTCAATATCTAAATTTGTGTGCGTGTGTGTTTGTGTGTGTGTGTGAGAGAGAGAGAGAGAGAGAGAGAGAGAGACCACTGATAGGAGAGGGAGCAGGAGATATATGATCATCTGCTTTTGCAATAACTGCTAGTAGAACCAGAATTACAGCCAAAGAAGCCATTAAATTGGAGGAAGCCATGGTTTCAGCGACTAATAACTAGTAAGAGGATGAGAGGGATGGTGAAGATGAAGGTAAATTATACCTTGCGGGTATATATATAAGCATCGAAAGCTTGAACTTTTCTTCATCCATTAGAAGCTTCTACAAATATGAGAAAAAAATACATTTCAAAGCTTTACAATTGCTGGCCGTATACGTTGAGAATCACTAGTCAATTACCTATACAGTTTCTTTGTGTTTGAACCTTTCATCTCCCTGACCAAAACAAAAAACTTTCCTCTCCCCTTCCGGTCTGTTTTGAAAAGTCCGCAATAACAAAAAAGCAATACTATTTAAATTTAATTTATTAACTTAAACACTACTTGCTCTTAGATTGACCGAGGGTAATTTGTTTTTGAGACCCGTTACTAATTCAATGATTTTTTTAAAAATTAGATCAAGAATTATAAATTCAATGTTAGGGTAATGGCGGGGTGACAGTGGAGAGAGATTATAAATTCTTATTCATCACATGAGGCGATCAATTGAGATTATAAATAATATTCCAGATTTTCTTTCATTGGTAGTTTTCTATCAATTTGTAGAAAAATAAGCAAAGTCATTGTGGTCCGTTCCCTGCCGTCATGGAAGCTTCGAACAAGTCTGATTTGAATGGGGAGAATACATGTGATTTATCAACCACTTTACATTTTAATTTTTGTTACTAAATTAACATATTTATAAGTAATTCCCTTGTAATGTTACGTCGGGTTGGGATACGGGTGGCGATGACGATGAAGATGAAGTGTGCTTATGGGGTTTAATTTGAGCTGAAAGGCTCTAGGGAATAATGTTTTCTAGGGGAGAGAGGTGGATTGCAAATGGAGTTTGTTGCTCTTGAAATATATATTGATGATTATGAGAGGATTACACAGTATTCTTGGTACAATTTTGGTTGTTTTTTTTTTTTTTTCCGTAGTGAGGACATTGTACAGTATTTATAACCTAATTCCTAATTTTATGGGGTCAGTGGCGAGATCTTTGCTTTCCTTCTGTAATATCTCACTTGATTTCAGGAGATGGTTTGGGCAACTGAGGATCTTGCATCTTGACTGACGCTTACTGCTGTTGAGGGAGCGCTTTGTTGTTGCCTGTTGTCTTCTACTCACCTTCTTCGGGGTGCAGGTCGAGGAAGCCCCAGGTCTGGACCTCTGAGCTCAAGCTCTCTTGGCTGAGCTCCCTTCTTGAGCTCAGCATCTGCCCCCCAGTCCCTGGTCAAAATGTGTTTGAGCAGGGGCTGAGCTGCGGTTGAGTTGAGTTAAGCCTTCGTGTGGTGACCTCGATTTGCGCATGAAAAGACCTTTTTGACAATTTTGTGCAATAATTTCTTCCACGTTTCTCGCGCATGTCCCGTATTTTGAAGACCCACGTACACCAAACTTTAAATGCCTTTGAAATGATCGAAACCCCTCACTTCTTCGTTCGATTTCTCTTTCTAGACTTTACCTTCTTTCTTCCTTGTGATTTTAGCTTCCCCAATCTGCTGACGTTCTTAGGGTTTCACTGAAAATCGATTTCCCTTGATTTGATTTAAAGGCTTTGTGAGGCTTGCTCTTTGATTTCGTTTTGGGCTTTGATTTGTCGCTCTTCCTTGATTAGGTACACTTCTTGGCTTTTGTTTATTTCTTCATTCTGAATCCCTCAAATCCGAGGTGGTTGCAATATTTTTGGACCTTCTGTTTTTGCTATTTTAGGAATCGAGGTTATTCCTTGTCTTCCCTTTCCATATTTCTGGACCCTTACTCTACTACTAGAGTCTTCCTGGCTGGTCCCTGAAGTCTTGACCCCTTGACTTTCCAGGATTGTTTTTTAGACGTTCCCCCTCTTTATAGCTTTTTAAGACTTCCTTTCTCCTGTCCAGTTATGTCTGCCTCTTCCAAGGCTACAACCTCATTTGTTCCCCTCATGGGTGATAGGTCTGCTGAAGAAGATGTTAATTTAGGAGACGTGGGTGAGGAGATTGATAACTTTCCTGGTGTCAATTTTGTCGATGCTGAGGATATAGTTGAGGAGCCCCCCCTCATCATCCTCCACTGTGCCCCCAGAAATCCAGAAAAGGTAGTTAAAGTGAGTGGCGTTGGAGTTTCTGGTAGTGTTGAAGGCGCAGAGGCTACCCTAGAGCTTCAAACCTCGTGGGTTGTAGCCAGGTCACATTTCCTTACATGAGGGTCTTATCCGCTCATTTCGATTTTCCTCATGATTTGAAGTGTTGGCGCCCAGACAAGGACATTCGGTATGACTCCCCCATACCTAAGAAAGTATATTTCTTCATGGCCACTCTTGAGAACAACATTCGTTTTTCAATGCTCCTTTTCCTTAAGAGTGTCCTGCAAGATTTTAACGTTTGCCCTGATCAACTTTCCCCTAACTTTTGGGGTGTTCTAGGGGGTCTCCTTGTTTTCTTCAAGAAACACGATCTTGGAGTTCCTACCGTGTCTTTGTTCATGAAGTTCTTCAATGTCAAGTATATTCTTTCCGATGGCTTCTTGTATATTTCCAAACGGGTAAAAACCCGCACTATGATTATTGATCTCCCAAGCTCCCACAAGGGTTGGAAGAGGCTTTTCTTCTTTGTGTGGGACAGAGAATGAGAATACAATCCTGAAAATGTTGCTGACACCCTTCCAGTGCCTCGGGCCTGGTCTGCCCTTGATAATCTGGGTAAGCCCTACTTGAGTAAGTTTAGATTAGCCTAGACAACTTATTCCACTGACTTTGTTCTGCTTGTTTTGTTTTGTTCTTAAGGTATTCGTCTTGAACTCAACGCTGAGGACAGGCGAGTTTTGCTGAGCTTAGAGGATTGAGATCCATTGAAATATTTTGAGCTTACCAATCCCCAATTGCTCACTGAACTTGGGTTTAGTCCTCTTGAGGTGAGGGTTGAAACTTCTATCCCCATTTCTGTGTTTGGAGTAGAGGAGGTAGCAAGTAACATTTCCTTCTTTTGTCCTTTAATCTTTTATCTCACTTCTTCCTTCTTCCTTTTTGACTTGTTTGTTTTGATTTTTTTGGTTCTTCCTCAATGGAACCTACCTCGAAAGATTTTAAGGCAAAGGTTGACCTGTTGAAGAAAACCAGGAATGGGGGTAAGCACAAGGCCGAGGTAACTCAGGGAGCGGTTCAGTCTCCTCAACCAAGGTTTTGAGGTTAGAGGTGCCACCTGTTTTTCCCTCTTTGTCCCAAATAGCTTTCATTCCTCCAGTAAGCTTGCTGAAGATTATACAGTCCTTTCTTCCTCAAGGGACTAGGCCCCCCCTCTGGAGCGGAACTTGAGCAAAGTGCAGTTTTAACCTTTCCTTCCTTGGTAGAGGTCAAGGGATCCTTGGAGGCCATTGGCCGTATTCTGCCTTGCTATCCCTTCCCCAGGTCGACTGAGAAGTCCCCTCAACTATTCCTAAAAGGTTCCAAGATTGAGAAAGGCAAGCATTCCCTTATTGATAACGTGAAATGTGTTGTAGATGCCATTGCCTCTATCATCCCTGAGTCTGACATTCCAAGGCATGTCAATATGCCCCTTGGGACTTGTATCTTTACGGCCTTGTACGGGGCTACTTCGGTAAGTTTATGATGATTTGTTTTTATGTTCCATCTCTATCTTGCATTGTCACTTTATGCTAACTTCAACCTTTGGTTGTGTTTGTTCCTAGATGGCCATTCACATGAGTGGTTTGCTTAGTTGGATTAGAGCTTTTGAGAGCTCGGCTAAGGCATCGAAGGAGTTTGAGCTTAAGGCTGTCGAGTTGACCTTTGCTAATCACGACCTTAAAGCTTAAGTTCAAGACCTGCATGCACAGGTGGAGAGGCAACATTCTATCATTAAGGGTTTGGAGATCTAGAAAATGGAGATTAGAGATGGGACCAGGAAGACTGAGTAGGAGCTCAAGAAGACCAAAGAGGAGCTTAGGTTGAAAACTGCTGATTGGGTTAAAGCTAGCAAGGAGGCCTTCGAGGCTTTGGATTCTTATGCGGGCATGAAGAGGAATATGATGTTTTGACTGAAGCAAATGATGTTCTTCGGAGTGAACTTGAGGTGCAAAGAGCTGCCGTTAAACAGAAAGTTACTCTGGTTGCTAAGCTGGCAAATGATGTCACCACCAAGTAGGCTACGGGGTACCTTGTTTTCAAAGGCCAAGCTATGCGGACGTATCTAGACTTGGATTTTGACTTTGAACCCCCTTTAGAAGAGGAGGAGGAGGAGGAGGAGGAGGAGGAGGAGGGAGGTGCCCAGTGTTGAGAAAGAGGCTAGGGCTTTAGCTCTATTTGCTTTTGAACTTGATCCTAAAGGTACTGAGGTACCTACTTTTACTGCCGAGGTCCTTGCCCAAGAGGTTTTTTCTACTTCGGCTACATTTGCAGCTCCCAATTCTGTCCCAACTTCTATTTTTGTGATTGTCGAGCTGCCTTTTGTTCCTTCTGATGCCTCTGTTGGTGTTCTCCTTTCTGCCGACCTTCCGCCTCAAGCTCTTATGTTGGCTTTGCCCCCAGCTGGAGTTGAGGTCCCTGCTTCTGCTCTACCTAAGGTTCCTCTCCCTTTAACTACTCCTAAACCTTCTGGAGCTTCTGCTACTGAGCTGCCAAACCCTTCTTTTTTGTCCTACTACAGAGACTTAGGATTCTTTGAGAGACTTCCATTTGTTGTTGTTTTTTTTATACTACTTCTTTTGGGAAACGTAAATATTAATTTCTTGCACTTTGCTTTCTAAATTGCTGTGTTTCTAATCGTTGTGCTGGTAATGTAAATATTTCTTCTCTATTTGTTGTGTTGCTGTGCTCTTGCATCTTCTCTATTCCCCTTGCACCCTTACTTCGAGGAGGACTTAGTTCTTCTTGAAGTAGATTTGCTAGGTTTGGATAAGCTGAATAGCTGATGAGCTAAAGAGTTGTTGAGTTGAGTGGCTGAGGTCTTAACCTTGGAGGGCTCATTCTTATGATTTGAGAAGCTTGTGAGCTACTGAGCTCTACTTGGGCTTATACTCGTGTTAAATTGTGTTATGTTTCAA